GAATCATGGGATGAGAAACATGCCAAGGCTGCCTGGTCCCTTAAGCCTGAAATTTAAAAACCGGCCGGATCTGGTGCCAGGGCCCAGAGTCCCAGCGACTCCGGAGGCTGAGTCCAGAGAATGGCTTCAGGGCAGGTATGCGGGGCTATGGTGGACACCGGTGGGGTGACGGAAACACAATAAAAACCTGTACAAATCAGCCAGCCAGGAGTGGCCGTCCATGCCTATAATCCCAGCACTCAGAAGGGGCGGGCAGGTAGAAAGGGCGGGCCAGACCGGCTCAGCCTACACGGTGAAACCCCGTCTCAAAAAACGTAACAGAAAGCAACATCGAACTACAGCACACCCCAAAGTGGACACCGTCTACACTGCCTCCTGTCCCTTAAAACCGAACGGCCACCCGAGAGGTCAAGGGTCATCCCTTAGGAAGGCTAACATTTCCAGGCAACAGCCACATTTAATGGAGACGGTTTTATTTCTGCGTTTTATGGGAGAGCCTTTGGGTGCTCTATGTTAACATCAGCACGGTGCAGCCCACAGCAGATTAAAAAGCTCAACAGATTCTACAATTTCTAGAAAACTGATAAATGAAACCTAATTTTTACTATGGCTACTGACTTCTTCCTCCTTCCTTATTTATTTTAGTTTAAAGTTGGGGGGGCGGGGGGGGGGTGTGTCCCTGAGTGCAATACCTGCACAGGCCAGAAGAGGGCACCAGCTTCTCAAAGCTGGAGTTACAGAGGGTGTTTAGCGGCCCAAGATGGGTGCTGGGAACCAAACTTGGCCTTTTGAAAGGATAACAAGCGCTCTAAACACCGAGCTGTATCCCTCGCCGCACCAATTTTAATTTTGAGTCAGAGTCTCACGTAGCCCAGGCGGGCCTTGAACTCCCTACGTAAGCAAGCTGATCTTGAAGTCCTGGTCCTCCTGCCTCTCTCCTGAATTCTGGGTTACAGTGTGAGCCACCCCACCGTGTTTATCACCCAGTATCAGTGCTTTGTCTGGAAAGTTCTGATGGCAGGAATTTCAAAATCTACCTCTCTCTTTAGAAACTTCAACCAGGTGTTTTGCGTCACAGGCTTTAGTTATTCCTTGTCCTTCTTGGACTCAATGGCACCTCTTGTTTTTCGTTTTAACACACAGTTCGGCGGCAAAGGAAAAGAGCAAACCAAACCAACTCACACTACAGTCCGATGCACACCCAGTGCGCTTAACGACAGAGTCTGGAGACCCCCTGAGCCACCAAACGCCTTTCCCTTTCTTTAAACAAGGTAAAACAGTCTATTTTAAAAATCAATTCAGCACAAGAGACAACACAGGGAAGAAAAAGGTGAGGCCAGGGGCAAATTCCTAGGAGAGCTTTCTCAGGCAGGAGACGGGCAGCACAGTCCCAAACCTGTCTGCGTTCTTTTAAACAGATACAGCTGGTGTATGGAGTGAGCGGAATGTGGGTGAGTGGATCATCTCCCCCATTGTGTCTCTCCCACCGCAGACAACAGGCTTTCCTCCACAGATGCTGATGAATGACCTGAGCACATTACAAAGAGGCGGTTTAGTTTCCATGTTACCAAGAAACCAGAATGGACAGTATCACGCTCTACAGACTGTAAGGTTCACGAAGCCAGGAGGAACCTTCTCTAGGTTCCATCCCTAACCCAATTAAAATGAATAGAAGGCCATTTTTCTGTTACTTAGTCAGTTAAATAAATAGGAAAACAATAAAAATCTGAACTTACATTTACACCAACCACAGGCCAAGAAGCTAGAATGGAGCTAAGGAATCCCTAGCCAGGAATAAGTTATAGCTAGTGACATGCCTGGCTGCAGGCTGCAGAACTTTCTCCTCTAGCTTCCTGGACACGACTGTGAACTGTAAATCTTGTTTCGACCTCCGCCCCCACCCCTTCTTAAAAGGCTGGAGAGTTGACAAGAGTTTAAGAGTACATTCAATGGTCACTGTAACACACTCTAGAAGTATCTGATTATTGCAGGGGAGTTTAAACAGGCAGTACAAGGGGGAGTAGAATTCTCTACTCTTAAAACTGCTTAATGCTGGCACTGTTACAAAGACGGAATGTGGCAAACCCTGGAGGTTGGCCTGCTTCGCTGACTATTCAACTCCTGGGGTACGGGGTTGGGGATGGGGGTGGGGAGCTGTGTGTTTTACTATGAAACGGGAATGGACTACACCGTAAGAAACTCCAGGCTGGAGGACATGGCTCAGTGGTTTTATAAAAGTGCTTGCTATGCAAAAGAGAAGACCCAAGTTCAAATCCCGGGGACCCACGTAAAAGCCAGATGCACAGTCCTGGAGCCTGTAATCTCAGCATTCCTATGGGGAGACACGTGTAGGAAACAGGAGAATCCTAGCTGCTCAGAAGCCTGCTGGGCCGGCAGATGCAGCAGAAAAACAGATCCTGCCTCAAACAGTGTGAAAGGCAAGGACCAACACCCAAGGTGGTCCCTCCAACCCCCACATGTGCGGTGGCATGCCCATGCATCGTCTAATGGATGGGCATGCCCATGCACCCTGAATAAAAAATAGTACACCATTCGTTTCAAATACCAGTAGACTGAATGTCCTTTCAGCTTCCACTTGATAATGGATGCCACACACAACATGAGCTACTAGGAAACACCCCAACTAAGACAGAATCTGGGGGGAAACAAATCTGAATGGCTCATCAGAACGACAATTCCATAGGAGGTTACAATTCAGGATCTACATTTCTCAAAACAGAGCCCACGCACACGTCACCTGGCTGGCTGGCTAAGGACACAATGTCCCTCCACTGCCTCAACACTTTTAGCTCAGCTGGGTCCTGAGGCCTGCATTGTTTCCTTAAATCACATTTTAGTGAAGGGTGTGTGTGTGTGTGTGTGTGTGTGTGTGTGTGTGTGTGTGTAGGTCTGAGGACAACCTGTGGGAGTCAATTCTCTCCTTCCATGCTGGTCCCCGGGATGGAACTAAGGTTGTCAGACTCGGTGGCAGGCACCTTTCACTGGCTGAGCCACCTTGCCAGCCCTTGGCCTGAATTTTTAAGTCCGTTTCGGTGTTATCATCATTGTAAGGTTATTCACGATCTCCCTACCCACTCAGAGGAATTCTGACCTTAGAGGTGTGAGACAGCTTCCAAGTGAAAAGAAAGAGTGATTCTGATACTATACACCTTTGCTCTAGCTGGGGCCCCCACCCGGAACGACTCTGACCCTTCTCTGCCTTCTCAGCAGTCTCAAGAGGCCCAGCCTAAACTTCATTTCCTGTCTCACAGCCCATGGGATCTTTACCTCATCACCGAGTACTAAGCACACACCTTAGGTTCTGCTATTCTATATCCTATCTCTCTCTCTCTCTCTCTCTCTCTCTCTCTCTCTCTCTCTCTCTCTCTCT